TCCCTGCTGAGAGGGGATCCTCAGCACGGCCCTGAAGATCTGCACATAGGACAGCACAATGAAAACAAAACAACCAAAACCCACAAAGATACTAACAACAAGAAACCAAAGCTCTTTGAGGTAGGCATCTGAGCAGGAGAGCTTGAGGATCTGGGGGATCTCACAGAAGAACTGGTTCACAGCGTTACCCTGGCAGAGAGGTATGGAAAACGTATTTGCAGTGTGAAGGAGACCATAGATTAACCCACTACCCCAGGCAGCTGCTGCCATGTGGACACAAGCTCTGCTGCCCAGGAGGGTCCCATAGTGCAGGGGTTTGCAGATGGCAACGTAGCGGTCATAGGCCATGATGGTGAGAAGATACAATTCTGCTGACATCAAAAAGAAAAACAGAAAGACTTGGGCAGCACATCCTACATAGGAGATGGCCCTGCTGTCCCACAGGGAATTCACCATAGATTTGGGGACAATGGTGGAGACTGAACCCAGGTCAAGGAGAGAGAGGTTGAGGAGGAAGAAGTACATGGGGGTGTGGAGGCGGTGCTCACAGGCTACGGTGGTGATGATGAGGCTGTTTCCCAGGAGGGCAGCCAGGTAGATGCCCAGGAAGAGCCAGAAGTGCAAGAGCTGCAGCTCCCGTGTATCTGCAATAGCCAGTAGAAGGAACACATTGATGGAGCTGGTGTTGGACATTTTGGCCCTGTGGGTGTGGGGATCTTTGCAAGGAGGTAAAGGAAATGAGAAATTAGGGGAGAATTATTTGCAAAAATCAAATCTATTTCTCATAGAAGCAACCCAACCCCCTTTCATATTTTAGGAAGACCTTTGGTGAGATCTGATTGGTGCTGGCTGAGGGTGCCCCAGGGAGATGGAGGCTCTGATGTGGGCTCTGCAGGAGTCCGTCCTGCCCTACAACATAGGTAAAGAGGAACACATCGTGACTGCAGATTAAATACCCTCATGATATCAAAGAGCTTTTCAGCACTGTTGCTCCCAACTCACCTGACTGCAGAGCAGACCTGTGGGGATTTTGGTTTGTGTCTTCTTTTCCAGTTTCCCCACCACAGCTCAGGAGTTGTTTTCATGCAGAAACCCCTGGCATTTCTGCTGCA